GTTAATTAATAGTGTTTTTAGTGATGACGAAGAAAACATTGTTTAATTTATATTAATATGTATCACTTAAAAAATTTTAATGAAGATATTTATCTTAATTATGAAAATATACTAGCATGTTTTTTAATTTTTGGAACCTAACCCTCCTTTTCGTATTAGTTCTTTGTTTCGTATAACACGGATTCGCATAACACGGCAATTTTTTGGAACGTAACTACCGTGTTATACGGGGGTTACCTGTACTCTAACATTGTATGTCTCTAAGAAAAAATTAAAAAAAATAATTATTATTTAAAATGTTTATTATTATTTAGGTTTATATAATTTAATTATATCTAATACATTAATAGAGCATTTTTTTTTCTTTTTTTGAATGGTTAATAATAAATGAATTACTCGAAACTACGCGCATATCAAATACGTCATAATACACTATATTCGAACAAACAACACGCGTAGAACAACTTTTTCTATATGATTTTTTCAAGGCCAACTGCTTTTACATTATATAAAGATTTACGTTTCGTAATTTATCCAATAGAATAGAATATCCTTTAACAAATTCGATAGCAAATCTTAGAAATCTTTGAAACTAGCCTCTTAGCCTATTTACTTCTAACCTGATTTGGTAGCCAATTGGAGTTTTCTGCTGAATAATAGCGCTCGACAAACGAAACTCACTTCAGAACTTTCCTTATCATGATACGAACACAAGTTATTTTCACTATTTTCTGTTTGAGTAAGTAATTTCCCTTTTTAATAATTAATTATATGTTATACTGGCACGTAATTATAATTTATGTATTTAAATACTTTATAAGAATAAATTATAGTTTAAATATTTTAAGCTCTGTTAGAGTTATAATATAATTTTTTTTTTTTTAAAATTTAACTTCATCTTTTATTACAAATAAGAAATTTTTTTTATATTTAAAATCATTTAAAATAGTATTAAAATTTAGTTAATTTTTGTTGAAAGATAAATTTTTCCAGTAAAATTATAGTTATAATAGAAAGAAGACGTTTGACCTATTTAATCTGAATAACTTTCTAGGTTAGTTGTGAAGGAAAATGAAATTATTTTTTATATAATATAATATAATGATTAATTAAATTATAAAATATTTTCAAATTAATAATTATATTATAAATAACATAACATTATTTTAAAATCTATCAAATTGTGGATTATTGTTAAATGTATATTATGTGTAAATATTAATGAACCCGTTCTTAATTAATAAAAATTATGTAAAGAAACTAAAAAAAAAATAGAATGAAATCTTTATTAAAACCATAAAAAATTGATGAAAATACAAATTAGATTTAAAGTTCTTCTAATTCTAAAATTGTTTCTCTATGAGGAAAAATATCCGTTGTATTTTTATCGTTACTTCCTTATACCGAAGATTTTTCTTGAATTTTCATAACTACATTTACCAGTTCTTCTCAACTTTAAATGGATAGTTTTTTATGTACGTAATTAAATAAATGATTAAATTATTTTAATTTATTTTTTCCATTACCGATTACGAAAACATTGACGTATGGGAAAAAAAATCAATGAGTTAATAGGAATATCTGATTTGTCACTTTCAAACAAGTTCTTATTCTGGTGAAAGAGACCTACTAAACTTTTAAAAGCAAGGTTAACTAAAATCTTTCATAAGTGATTACATATTTACTGATGTTAAAAGGTTGCCTTAGTGTACTGTTTTCGAAAGCAGACAATAAATCGAAGTGTTACGAATTCTATGATTAGTAAATAGTCATTAATCTTTTCTAAGTCAGAATAGATTAAAATATTATCTATTTTAAGTCGTATCATTTTAGAATCTGGAAGATAAATTATTAATTACTAATTTATGCTTCATAGAGGATAAATTCTTCTCCTATATCTCATCAGAATACTGAGATTTGTAATGAATTTTTCTTCGTTTTCAACATACGTTTTTTAATACGTCCTTAGTAAAATGCATAAACTGTATAGTGTTAATATACGTTTCTTAAAAATATTAAAACTATACTAATTACATTGTTCCTCAATCTTATTTTAAAATATGAATCTATGTATCTTTATATAATTACTGGATAATGCGTGATTTAAATTTTGAAATATTTTAGAGCATTTTAAATATTATGAAAACTTTTTAATATATATTACATTAAACATTACAATAAAATTATTTTGATAGGTGTCAGCTTTTATGCATCAGCGGATAACTGCGACAAAGATATTCTAACAACATGTGCCAATGTAATCGAATTTATGTCCAAAAGACAATCGGTTATTGCAGGAAAAGAAATGATAGATGACCTATGCAGGTAAGGGGAAAAATATATGTGAATATTTAAATATTTACAGACACTTTACAAGAGGAAAGTTTTTTTATATTATAATTATAATGTAGTAACAATTAATAATTAATAGAAAGAATTGTGCAAGAGGAATTCCTACTGTCTGTTTGATAGAAATACATTTTTATTTAGAAAATTTTGATAAGCTAGTAAATTATATTATTTTTTAAATTAAAAATTACATTTAATTACAGTAGAGTATTCATGAACCGGGCTATAAAAATGCACCATAGTAGGGACCGGTCTATTTACTTAGTGAAGAGAACAGATTGTTTAATGACTCTTTGACAAGATCAATGTGAGCTACTAAAAAAAGGAGTTTTTAAATATTTTAAAACTTCCACAGCACCAACTGAATATCGCGCATCGCCCGGTCAACACATACGAAACGATCTGTATGTTTAAGTAAGACGAGTTCAGCTGTTAGTGCTGTTATATTAAGTATAAGTAAATTAATATATTTAAACACAAATATATTCTTATATAATTCTAGATCAGTGTTTCAAAACCATTTTTATTTATTATTTTAATTACCAACTTTCAGCATACTGAAAAGACCGTGACATTACTTCGGAATTGCAGCTTCAGGGAGTTCGCGACCCACTTATTTAGAAGCACTGTTCTAGATTACATATACAATATCTCAATAATATGTATTATTAAAGATGTTAATATACGCACATATATATTTTTTTTATTATTAGATTTTAAGATTTACTTTTCTATTTTCTAATCCAAATTCCTCTTCTTTATCTTTGCATCCTCCTCCTTCTCCTCCTCCTCCTCTTCTTCTTTATCTTCGCATCCTCCAAACTTTCTTCGGTTTGTTTTTTAATTTTTAAATGAAAAAANAATCTTATTTTAAAATATGAATCTATGTATCTTTATATAATTACTGGATAATGCGTGATTTAAATTTTGAAATATTTTAGAGCATTTTTAATTTTATGAAAACTTTTTAATATATATTACATTAAACATTACAATAAAATTATTTTGATAGGTGTCAGCTTTTATGCATCAGCGGATAACTGCGACAAGGATATTCTAACAACATGTGCCAATGTAATCGAATTTATGTCCAAAAGACAATCGGTTATTGCAGGAAAAGAAATGATAGATGACCTATGCAGGTAAGGGGAAAAATATATGTGAATATTTAAATATTTACAGACACTTTACAAGAGGAAAGTTTTTTTATATTATAATTATAATGTAGTAACAATTAATAATTAATAGAAAGAATTGTGCAAGAGGAATTCCTACTGTCTGTTTGATAGAAATACATTTTTATTTAGAAAATTTTGATAAGCTAGTAAATTATATTATTTTTTAAATTAAAAATTACATTTAATTACAGTAGAGTATTCATGAACCGGGCTATAAAAATGCACCATAGTAGGGACCGGTCTATTTACTTAGTGAAGAGAACAGATTGTTTAATGACTCTTTGACAAGATCAATGTGAGCTACTAAAAAAAGGAGTTTTTAAATATTTTAAAACTTCCACAGCACCAACTGAATATCGCGCATCGCCCGGTCAACACATACGAAACGATCTGTATGTTTAAGTAAGACGAGTTCAGCTGTTAGTGCTGTTATATTAAGTATAAGTAAATTAATATATTTAAACACAAATATATTCTTATATAATTCTAGATCAGTGTTTCAAAACCATTTTTATTTATTATTTTAATTACCAACTTTCAGCATACTGAAAAGACCGTGACATTACTTCGGAATTGCAGCTTCAGGGAGTTCGCGACCCACTTATTTAGAAGCACTGTTCTAGATTACATATACAATATCTCAATAATATGTATTATTAAAGATGTTAATATACGCACATATATATTTTTTTTATTATTAGATTTTCGAAAAATGCGACTATTTGTGCTGATAATTTAGCAAAAGATTGCCCTCAGATTAAAGAAAAACAACAATATAAAACTTTAATCCGAGTTAACCAAAAAGTCGAAACTGATGTTTGTGAAGAAAATTCGGAAATCAGAAAAAGTATGTATTAATAATAAATTTGTAAAGTATTTTAAAATTATTTTATTTTATTTATTTATATGTTTATGTTTGGAACAGATAAAAACTACTTTTTTTAATGTTAAAAGTATTGTAATAGTAGGCCTATATAGACTTTTAATATCCAAAAGAATGAAAGAAAGAAGAAGAAAGAAGAAAGAATATGAATTAATTATTATAGTTATTTATTCATACGTTATGAACAGTGTACTGTACGTTGATTGATATATAAAATTTTAATATTTAATTTTCTAATGTTTTAAATAATTCTAATTAATAGCTATTATCAATCCGGATTCGTTTTTTTTAATTACTTGTTACTCAATAAAATTTCAACACAACTGTATGAAAATGAACATCCGTTCTCTCTTGTCATACATTTTAATTCCAATTAGGTCATTAACATAATGTTGTCATTTTAGCAATCATATTCTTGAGTAATATAAAACTATTTGGAATAAATAAAATGCAAATTTATTACGAAATAAAATAAATTTTACTTGAACTTAGAAATTCTAGAATATAAGAATAGACAGTAACAATTTTTAACAATGATAAAAATAACATTTAAAATCATTTGTTAATGTTAAATGATATCAAGCGATGTGAATTGGTGTCAATTGACTGAAAATGATTGTAAATGATAGCTAATAGCGAGTCATCTGCCATTATTCATTTTGTATAAGAAAGCTGTTAAATTATACAAATTGAATGATCAAATGGCATTAAATGATGCCATTTGATCACTCAAAATTATTTCATTGATAAATGATATCATTGCAAATCGTTTAATCATTTAAAACGTGCTTAAAAGAACCACTTTCAGAAATATTATTGCTATTATATAAAAATGATGAAAGGATATTTTTATTAGGGCTACTACACTAAATATTCTAAAGAAATCAATAATGGGTTTAGGTTGTCCCAAATCTAGATAAATGTGGATTTATAAGGCCTTTTTTATATAAATTTAATTATGTAAACCGTCTATCATACGATAATTGATATTGCACAAGTCTACATCCTAGTTGATACTGGATTTCGAATGCTGGATCGATAAGCATCCGCAGTGTTTGTGCGTGTCTGAGATCCTAAAAGCTCAGAATTTTATGTAAAATTTAGGTTGCTTATATATAAAAGCTGTTACTGATAGAAACTATATACAAATCATCATTAAAATTTGATTATTTCAATAAGATAAAGCTCCATATTTCGAGCTTGATCTTTGTTTAGTTTTCCAAAATATCAATAGTAGGCTATATTATTTAAGCTAATTGGTCTATATTGAAGAATATAAATTGTCAAATACAATATAAGAAGTAATAAATTTAGATATAAGAATGCTATTTTAAATTTTTTAAATAATTTGATAATAATACTGTAGATACAAAAATATGGAAAGATATTTTGCAATTAAAAAACAAATGTAAATTGTGATATTATAAGCCAGTCTAAAGAAAATTACATTATATTTTTCATACGTACTGTATACTATTTTTTCAATTGTATTAGTAGTTTTCTTGTATTTTAAATACGTTCATTATATTTTAATTATTTATCTAATTCTACATTCTTTTTGCCCCTAGAAAAATCTAAGAAAAATAATCAATCACAATATAATCTTTATCTCACAAGTTATGAAAAATGAATTACATAAATAACAAATATAAGACCTAAATAAATATAAAGGAAGTTTACAAACTTCTGATACCAAGAGAAATTTAAAAATTTTCTAAATCAATAGTCATTACTTTTTTAAAAAGAAATATCTAATTTAAAATTTATGAAAACTGTGCGAAATATCATAAATATTTTTAATAATGAAGTTATGCAAGATGAAAACCGAGAATCAGAGCTACGAAGTCTCTTATTAGACTAGTTGAAAAGTCTGTACTCGTACATACAAATTTTTATAATTTAATTAGTGATAAATAAATAAGAGAAAAACATATTTTTTTATAGAAAATATTTAGAAAACGTCAATATTGTGATAAATACTGAAAAGTTTTGAGTTCAAATGTTATTGTGCATTAAAATATATATATTTTGGCATATAATAAATTACAGTATCTTTTTACATTGATTAATTATCCAAACTAGCTTTAAAAAATTATTTATATGCTAATTACTACTAAATGATCTGATTATTTTTCTTAGATTCACTGTATTTTATCATTATTTCTCATCCAAAATTAGTATTTTTGTAGTATGATGTGTAATATATCTCCATATTCACTGTGTATCTTATAATAATAATTCTATTAATAACATCATATTAATTATAAATTTATTTTAATTGTAATTTTATAGTTTATGCTAAACATGAAGATTGTCTTCATAAGATAACTGACGATAAAGCTTTACAATGCGCTCAAGATTTTATAGTCATTTTAAGACTTTTAGATGAATCGTCTGATAAAGAAGTTTGCTGGTAAGAAAATTTTTAAAAATATAATTTAATTACATACGATGTGTTAATATGTTTGCTAATGTTAGTGTATATCCAAAAATTTAACTTTAATATATCCTATAGGCTACAATTTATAACAAAAGTTTTTGCATGCTCTCTTTCATGTTCGGTCAAAGATTGATATTGCTTTTCAGAAATAACAGCATTTCTATGTTATAATTATCCGTATCACTTATACGCCCGTACTTATATATAGAATAAAGTTTAATTAACTCAAAATTTAATAAAGTGGAAAGATGTAACTATCTGTAATTTAGAAAGTTAAATTCTATTGAGTTTCTCATATAGACTTAAATCTAATCATTATCAAATTTCAAGTAGATTTAGCAAGGCTGAAAGTGATGTAAATAGAGATATAAATAGAGATTAAGACTATTGTTCGGAATATGTATTTGACTATTCGAAAATCCAAACTGCAAAAGCAGTTGATTAACTTTTCTATTAATCTCTTCTCTATAAAGAAACAGTATCTCATATTTATCACTTTAACGTAATATAAATAAAAGCTTTATTTGTATTTTTAAGATTAACAATTTTATCTCTGTTTTCCATAATAAAATAAACTATGTTTCTAAATGTTTTTAATTAATATTATAAGCGAGGTCAGAGACACCGGATGGGACACTCTCCCTCTTGGAAGTCATAAAAATATATGAATAAAATCAATAATATAAATAAATATGTTTTTATAAAATAATTTAATTTATATCACTTTTAAATTATTTAATTATAATATTCTTACATAAAAGATTAAATCTTAAGAGTTCCTTATGCAGCCATGGCCGGATTTCTCGAACTGATCCTGAATATGTTACATCTTATTTGATTAAAGAACATTTAAATTATACTTAATAGAAGTATATTTTACTTTTTAATAACATTACAATAATATGCTATCATTGTATATTATTAAATTGCATCTTTATGGGCCTGATAAGTCCTTGATAAGTTGGACCCGTCTCTCGTTGTGCCCCCATTGTGAGCCTGGCCAAACCGTGATGAGTATGATTAAAAGGCAGTGTCCTTACGGCGGAAAAAAATTATTTAAAAAAAGTACATATCATCAAAATTTACTCATTAAAATTAAATAACGTAATATGTAACTTATGTCATAATTTCTTCCTGTCGTAACGTTATCCAACTCAGTAGAAACTTCTTACACATTAGAATGGATCGACAGTAGGCAAAAATAATATTTATTATTATTGTTAAAACCTGTTTTAAGAGCTGCCAATTAAAATATATTCGTGTATATTGAAGACAGCTTCTACATATAAAAACCTAAATTGTTTCCATATTAAATATTTATATTTATATTTTTTATATTTATTGATATGATAAATTTTCTTAGCATTTGATATATTAAAAAATGCAATTCAAATAGTTTATAGTAAGTTAAAGGTGCGTTATATAAGTAAACATTATAGTTTTTTTTATTTATTTTTTCACTTTCGTCTCTTTAAGCCCTGTAGACACTAAGAGAGCCTTTTTAATCACGGGTTTGTCTAAGTCTACATGGGGCCTACGGTAGAGTGGGCTCCTTTAGCTCCTTAGTGGCACCTCTAATTCTTTAGTGGATCCATTTGCCCGTAGTTGTTCCGATCCGTAGAAATTAGTTATTTGTTTATAAAAAGAAAAAAGATGAAACAGGAGTCTGTTAAGAGAGAGAAGTGGCCTACTCTTCTTCTGGGCGCCATGAAAGCTCTGAATCCGAAGTCTATTGATAACAAAAACTTTGTGTCGTCGTTTCTATTTTCTCCTCCGGCGTCAGAAAAACGTTTATGATGATTTTAAACTAAGTGTTTTATATATGTAGAATAGATTAAGGCGGGAAATGCGTATCAGAAAACATAACATTTATTAATTTTTCCACTTTATATCCAGTTTACGTCAAGTACAGAATTTGCGATTATTATATTTATTTGTAAATTTTTAATGCACTACTGCGGTTATTATTATTTCTTATACTCGGGGAAAATAATTTAATAAATTAGCAAAATTCATTTATAAACATGATTGAAATTATCGTTGAATTAAAAGATATAAAGTTGATAATTCCATAATCCGAAATATCATGACGTTCGATTAAAAGTACTGTATCCTGTATGTTATTTTCAAAATAATTTTTGTCTCAGAATTGCCACGTACTGTCTGAGATGGACTATACTTCGAAAAATTCCTAAGGTTGCTCACCAAATTTAATTCAGGGACATCCAGAGCGGTAGGCTGACGCCTTAATAGCCTCGGCCATCTGCTAAAGTTTTTGTTAGTCACATTATACATTCGTAATTTATATCAATTTATTTTAAATTCTAAATTTCCTATTAATTTTTTATGTATTTTATTAAGATAAACAAATATATTTACTTAAAAGGTATTTTAGATAAACGATAAGCCATTTTAAATATACAAGACGGGCCAAAAGTCAATTAACGTGCACTCGTGATTCAGTCATTTCATTAGAATCGACTGAATCACACAAACGATAACATGCAGTTGTTCAAACCAGTTTTCGTCGTTCATAAAATAATCTTAAATATAAGCTATCTCAGTTATCTAATTTTCGGAACATCCTGTCTTTCCTGATAATATTTTATAATGATAATTAATCTTGAAATGTCTAAATTTAAGAAATATAATTTAATGTGATTGTTTTGATAGCAATCATGGCTAAATTACTGAATTGGATTGATGGAATAAGGAAACGGGGCACTTGGCGATATGCCAAGAGGGAGTACTTTCTGTGGTTAAATTGACTTTATTTAGTTGTTAGATATGCGAAGAAAATCCGAAAAACTTCACATGGGCTGGACATGTGGAGCTTTTCGTATATTCTCTAGCCCAATGGTTCCCAATTAGTGGTACGCGTACCCCTGGGGGTACGCGAAATTGCATGAAGGGGTACACGCGGCAATCTAAAATCGGTCGATTTAAAATTTAAATTCATGAGATGAAGCAATCAAAAAAATAATGGGTGGACCATCAAAAATTTGGCAATTTACAACATCATGTCGAATGCACAAATTCGTTTATTTATAACTATAAATATTCTCGAAATTTCGTCAAAAAAATGCGTTTGTGACAATACAGATGTTGCAGCCGACGTTTTTAACGCGAAAACGTGTATGTCGGACGTTCAGCGCCGCCTTTCTGTAAGCCTAGAAGTTTGACAATGGCGTTTGGAACGTCAGTAGAATTGTGCTCGACGTTCTAAACGCCATTGTCAAACTTCTATGCTTATAGGAAGGCGGCGCTGAACGTCCGACGTACACGTTTTTGCGTTTAAAACGTCGGCCGCAACCTCTCTATTACCTAAATGAAATTTCTACGCAAGTAACAAAAATTGTACAGTTATCATTATTATCATGTCAGCGAAGCGGCAACAAAATATTTACTACCATTTTGCACAACATACCTCTGCGAGAGCGGATTTTCGGCCATGACAAACATGAAAACTAAACATCGTCACCAACTTCAACTCGAAGATGACTTGAGACTGAATCTGACCAAAAAGCAACCAGATTTTACAAAGTTGTGCAAAGAAAATCGTGCACATTTGTCACATTAAAATTAAATAACCCTATGTTATTTTCATTATTATTAGAATTTTATTTTAAAGGTAATAAATGTAAAAAAAAAAACTTATTCTATTTATCACTAGCTGTCTACCCACAACTTCGCTTGCATTATATCAAATTTTCTCGTGGGAGTAAGATATTTTCTCGCAGTAAAATGTAGCCCATGTCCATCTCTAACATGTAAGCTATCTCTGTGCCAAATTTTATTAAAATCTGTTCAGCGGTTTAGACATGAAAAGGTAACAGACAGACAGGTAGAATTACCTTCGAATTTATAATATTAGTATGGGTTAATATGAATTTCTGCTATAAAGGGTACGCGAGTTTGAGCTCTTCCTTGAAGTGGTACGCAAGAAAAACTAATTGGGAACCACTGCTCTAGCCGGTTGGTTAGGCAACCTAACTACTAGTGTTCTGTGATTTTATTTATCTAACACTGGGATTTACTGGGCAAATTAATTACTTACTTCCGTCTGATGAATGTATTGGTCAATTTAATTAGAAAACTTTTGACCATACTTATTTCGTATGAACATAAGTTTTATTTTGTATATTAGTTATTTATAATTTTGAAGAAGAAAAACATAAATTATGCCACAATGAAACATAACGCATGTGATATCGAACAATAGACAATAATCGACATTCAGTGTATTTAGTAATATAGAAGACATAACCGTGAATACCAATAAATGACACAATTCCTCATAAATTACATTTTCATTCTTCTGTTATTGTGGAAAACATTGTTTTATTGTGTCCAAAATATCATTATTTTCGGTGGTATTTTTAATGGGAAAAATATTTCTTAAAACAATGTTTTTTCCTATTTTTAAATTCTACCCTCAAAACCAAAATAATTAAGTCAAAGTATTCTCAATTCATGGATTTTTGTTTCTCGTGAATATTTTAATTTTTCAGCACAACAAAGTTTTTTTATTATTATTATTATTAATATTATAGGCTATATAAAAATAGAGTTTTAGATTAGTGCTTCACGAAGACGTTTCAGATGGTATTCTTTATTAACTGTATTCCCTTCTGGAAGAAATTCCTGTTGAATCACACCATCAGAATCGAACTGTGTTCAAGACCTCCATATTGTTTCGAACTTGTCACGCCTCTTTAGGTCCTGGTAAAGATTTTCCCACCCGCTATGATGTCTGAAAATTTTCTTCCACGTCGTATCCATAGACCAATATCTCATCCCCAGTGATGATGTTTTTCATGAAATATTTATCAGACTTAGCCCGTCCCAGAACTCTTCATTCAATTATACTCACGGAAAGAAAATCGCAAAACTCAATCAACATGTGTTTACACAAATGAACGTAACATAACAATAAATGAAGATAGAACAAACTGCTTACAGTAGATAGTACAAAAAACTTGCCGATGGAGAGAGGTGCAAGCTGCATTCAAATTCAATTATCAGTTGGTGTGTAATTTAAAAAGTTCACGAACTTTCTGGACAGACTTAGAATACAGTATTTTAATAATAAAAACAGACACATACACACAGTTCTTTCTTTCAAAACGAACGATCAACTAACTTTATTTCTCTTTGTTCCTGACTGAGCAGGGGTTCACATATTGTTGTCATTAAGTTAATTACTAACATGTACAGAATACCATCACTAGAACAACACAACTAATATACAACAAATATAATACATGCCATATATATTAAATTTTATGCAATGAAAATTAAATAATATTCTTAAAAAAATAGATTTTATTGGATTTATTTAGAAAAAGATAAAATATGCTGACTTATCTTTCAATATAATAAAAATATCTTTTCTCGCATAGTATCTCAGATTTATTGTTTTTTAATAAACGAAAAGAAAGAAAATATTTTCTGTATTTTTCAAAACTTTTTCTTTAATCCAAACACATAAATTTTAATTTTACTTGAAGTTTGTTATATTGTTCAGTTGCCTTTTATTCCTAGAATAAAGTCTATCAGGTGTATTTGATTATTTCTAATTGTAAATAGATATATTCAATTTCTTAAACATATTTTACAATACATTACTATTTTATATTTGTATAAATATAATATTCTTTATTTACTCTCATATAATTTATTAATTTATTTTTCAATATGCTATTTATTATAAAAATTTTGATCAGATAAGTGTTTTATTTTAATATTAAGACTTTATAAGTATATTTATTTACTTTTAAAATTTTATCCTTTATAAAATATTAATATCTTAAAACTTATTATTATTTTTTTAATGGATTTTAAATAATTACGTTAAGAAAATTAAAGTAAATACAATACAAAAATCGAAATTTAGTCTTTAAGCAGTTTTATGAAACAAACTGAAATGCATTTTTGGCAAGAGAAAGATTTATTAATAGATCTATATCTTTATATGCTTATATAATTTATTGATAAAACAAACTGCAATTGATTTTTTAACAAATTTAATACAGTTAATTCTGTCAATAGACAAACATAAAGAAAGTAACGCTTAAAAAGCAGAGAAAGTGTGTATAATTCCTGTTCTTTATTTCATTTCAGCTCTTATACGGAAACCAAAGAGTGTATTCACAAACTGGTTTCTTCAAATTGCGGAAATGATGCAGCAAATGCCACCGTACAGGTAGCCGACTTATTAACTACGCCCTTAACAGAACCAAGATGTTCTACCTTCAATGTCACCAAATGCTCCAAAGATTCTGCTTCTTCGAGATCAAATCCTAGTATTTATATCCTGGTTTTCGTCTTTTTATTTAGTTTATTCTTCTAATTTACTATCTCGAAAGAGAAAAAAAAATTACAATAAGATCATTTGGCAAATGATTTAGAAGACGAATTAGTCTACAAAGAATTTTGTCATTCTACAATCTTAACAATATCTAAACAACGATTCGACTTTTTAAAATTGAATAAGAATTATTTAAATTTTATGTGAAAATTTCTACACCGATTTAAATCTGTTGTTGAAAAAGTAGCATTGTGAAATGAAGTAAGCCTGTTGTTTGATATAATTTTGTCTTATACTGTGGAATATTATTATTTGTAGTTATTTTATAACTTTATCATTATGTACAATATATCGTAGTTATATTATATCCTATAACATCAATAGATATTAATTGTTAATTATCTTTTATATTCACATTTCTTTTATTTATTGTAAATATTTCAAATATTGTATAAATAATTTACCTTTTTGAAAGGAATTGTTTTATCTTATTCAAGATAATTGTTACTTAATTTTAATACAGTATTTAATCCAGCTGTAATTAATACTGTATAATTAATATTGCAGCTGACGAAAGTATTAATTACCACACAAATAGTATTTTATTATGAAGAAAGACCAATATATTCATTAAAATTTTTAATTTTTAAGCAAATATTTTTAAAATTATACTTTAAAAAATATTATATAAAAGAATTTTTATTAAAAAAGAGTTTTTCATTTTGTCTTCCAAAATATTTTAATGGAAAGAAAAACAATAAAAGAAGAAAAACCAATTTATTAAGTTGACAAAATTTTCAATAATAATAAATATTTCAATTTGTTTTAGAATATTTTTTATGTGTAATAATTTTATATAAAATTTTGTTATATTGTGAAATCTTTGAAACTTTATCATATTGTAAAATTAAAACTTTCATTAAAGGAAAACGAAATTTTTATACCTAATTGATAACAAAAATAAAATAAAATGTAATTAATGAAATTTTCTAAAAATTTTTGTCAAATTAAAAATATATATATTATTGATTTAAGAGATTAATATTAAAGGTACTGGTACTGTGTATTCTAGTAAATAAATAAATAAATAAATAAATAAGGAATTCTCTTTTTAAATTGTATTTTATGTATAAAATTTTTAAGTTTCTAATTTTTAAATACTGCAAACCAAAGTAAATGAAAACATAAACAAAAATACTAAAATATAAAACAATATTTATACCATAAATACTTAAAATAGTATCATATTTTGGTTATTTATTAATTGTTGTGGGTTTAATTTGGTAATAAGGACTTAAAAATGTAAGTAACGTGAAGAATTTATAAATTGTCTCATATAATTTTTTAAATATTATGTTTGAATGTTTTATTTATAAAAATTTTTTAATAAATAGATTATTCTAGTATAAATTCTAGTAACCACTCACTATATATATAATATCTATTTATAGATTAACCTTTGATTTAAAATTAAGAGCCTTATATATAGACCAAAAATTATTTTTAAATATAAAGCTGAAACTTTTATTCTGTTAAATTAATTAATTTTAATAGTTTATTTATGTCACAATGAATCTTTTAAAATGGCAGATTTTCTAAGCATATTTAAAATTTAAAAACAATAATTTTGTGTATCTAATAAAGAAAAATTAATTTTATATTTTTAAGTTTTATGTAGCTTATTGAATTTTTCATAGTATTAAATTTAATATTTGTAAGCTAAAAATACTGATTCAGTTACATTAAATTAGTCCAATTCAATTTAATAGTATTAATAGATTATTAAATTAGAACTTTTGAATTTTCCAAATTTACTGTGTTAAAGGTAGATATGTACAGATAAAATCTAAGTGAAATATTTTTTCTTATACTGTATTAAAGTATAACAGTACAGATCTTGTAGATTGTTATTTTTACCAAAAACGTTACTGTTTTTTTATGTAAAATTTTCACTATATTATCGTAATTTATATTTTTAATTTTCTATATAATTATTTAATTTATTTTAAAATAAATTATGATAAAATCCTTTATTTAAAAAAAATTGGATCATTGACAGAAATATTTTAGAATAAAAAAAAATAGTTTAAACAGATTCAAAACCAGACAGTATATAAAAAACTGGAAATTCCAATGATTAATATCTGTAAATTTGGTCGCTAAGTTCACAGATAATTAATTAGTCGAGGTCAAAGCAATGTGAAGGAAAATTTAATAGTAAATGATTAGTGAAGCATATGATATTACCATATAAAGCAATTACAAGGAATAATATTTAAAAATATTTATTTATTTATTTTAAACCAAGTGATTTTCTAGTTTAAGACTTTACTAATCTCTAGAAATAGCTTTGCGTAATAATATCTTATGAACTATTTTAATATTATTACATAAAGCGATTTTAAGGAATGAACGTATGAAATAGTTATTTATTTATTTTAAACTTTATAAGTAAAGATCATTACCCTTCAGATAGCAAACAATTCTCAGATAAAATAAGAAACAAAAAAATTCTTTAGTAGACCTAGCGTTTTTATTCGATGAATCACCAAAATAAAAACAGTACATACAAATTAAATTTTGAATCTCTAATCAAATTCATTATTAAAAATATAATAAAGAAATCGCAATTAGGTTATTGCCTTTTGGATTTTTTTTTCTTTCCAAGATTCTTATAAAATCATTTTATTGGGATTCGGAAACAATTGAAATTCGAAATAGAAAAATCTGTACAAAAATCACATGGTTTACGAATTGAGAAAGAAGCGACAGAATTCTTATAAAATATTTCGTTCATTCTGTTTTAGACGAAGCTTATGCAATTTATTAGTTTATTCAAAGATTAATTTTTCTTTGTAGTTTGTGTATTGTTTAGTTTAATTTCAATTTTGTTTTAGCATTTCACACTAACAATTTCTAATGTTTTTTTTTATACTTTTTTCAATTTTTGGCACCTTCAAAAGTTCAGCGTCCTGAGCCAATGACTATTTGGCTTGTGTCCAGAACTGCCTTCGATTATATGCACATTGCGATTTTGAACTGCAATTCGAAAAATTCTTACTGCAGATAAAATATTTCTAAGAATAGAATTTTTATTTGTTTTTTTAAATTTTGTTTAAAAGGAATTGCGTGTTAATCGTTAAAGATGTATAAAGAAATATGCATTTAATTTTTTATTCTCCAGCAGACGTATTTACTTTTAATCTCTACTTTATCTGATAAAAATAAATATTCTCAAAACAAATAAATCGTATATATATATATATCTCTTTTCAACACTATTTTCTCCTGTTACTTCCAAAATTTGTCTTGGATCTTCAGTCTTGGTTATTTTCGATGGCGAGTCTTCACATAAAAGCGAGAATTGAAAATAAATGAATCAGATATATTTGTAATATTTAATGATTAATCTGGTGATCAGGTCCTATCGATTTCTTTGTGTGAATCATTTGAAATCTTATTGACAAAACCGTTTCATAAAATGTATTTATTGTTTTCTAATTTACCGGAGATAATTGAAGACGCTCAAATATCCCTTCATACTTTAACTTTAACAATAGAGTCGTGTCAATCATCTATTAACTGCTTTCAGGGAAAAAATTTTGAATTGAAATAACGTGCCTTCCAGTTTACTTCGGAAGTTCTTATATAGTTTATCGGGGCCTCCTGCTCCTAAGGTTTCCACACCCGGTCTCATCTTTCATCTATCTAACTCCATTCTCGAGATTAAGGAAGGCCAGACAGACAGCCGACAGCGAGAATTTATAGATCTACAATTTTTTTTTTTAATTGCAGCCCAATAACTATATGAACGGACGATTCAAAACTAGGTTTAAAGAACTGATTGATCCCTTGATATAGCCTACAGCACTACTCTAAAGACAGATAAGAATTAAGGTGCAGAATGTCCAGAATGTCTCTTCTACTTTTTCTATGTATATCTCTCTTTTTCTTCCTTTTTCTGTTGATCTGCCGACCTTTGCCTTTTTGTTAACTGTTCCCTCCACTGATCGGCTCGTGATTGTCTTCGGGTTATCAGTAGACGATGAAACAAAAACAAAACAGCATCAAAATTAAAAAAATTAATTAATTTTGGCCCCACATTTATATTAATTTAAAATATTTAATTTTCTTACTTGAAATTAGGAATTAACTTTGTTTTCAGGATACGAGAAGGCTTACAAATGATATAAAAAAACTGTAATGTTTTAAAATTTATGTATGAAATATTAAAAAATGGTATATATCGTAATTTGAGTCAAAAACACATTGTCATAATTAAAAGTATTGTTGAACATCTGATAGAATGTTTATATTGGATATATTGGGATGGCATAGAATGATTTTATCTTTTATATTTCCAATTTCTCTACGGTAAATACATGAGCTAAGCTTACGTATAATCAATACGTTTTCAAATATGGATTTCATAGAGAAAAACTTTGTAACGCAATATTTTTCATTATAAAATACTATGAATAATATTCAGTGAACTATTTTCCACGTTTTCAAATGTAAACTTATGAAATTTATATTCAATATAACTAAAATTAATAAAAAAAATCGATATTTTATTTTTGTTGGTTTTACTGCTTTTGTGTTTAGCTTTTGTATACTTGAGAGTAAATTAAATTATATTTATTATATAAATATGAATATTTTATGTAAAATATTTTAAAATATGTAAAATACGATTTTATTTACTTTCAAAAATACTTTTAAAATTACAAAAATAAAAATATGAAGCAAAGAATAATAACATTAATTAAAATCATTTTAAATATTTGGAAAAAAACGAAAATAAATGTTAATTATATAAGCTATATAGATTAATGCAGTCCACGTACACTGTTGATAATTCTTTGGGCGTTGTCTTAATTTATTTTAATAAACTAAAACGAAGCTGAATGACTTAAAAATAAATAATAAAAGCCAACCAATTAAAAAATATATAAGAAATCCACACACAAAGAGAATCTAATCAACGGATTCAAAATTGGTTTTTTTATTAAAATGATAGACAATCTGTAATAACAACAATTTTTTCTAATTTATTTCGTATATAAGCATGGAATTTAATTGAATTTTAATATATTATTTATAATGATAAATAATAAAGTATAGTAATATACAATATAATACTATTAAATTGAGAATATATAGTTTTCATTCAACAATAAAACAAAATTTTAAAATTTCTTCTCTCTCTCTCTTTCTCAGTTAGTTAGTTAGTTTTTTTTTATTAATTAAATTTTAAGTTCGTAGTAAAATTATATAAGAATTTAAATTAGGAAATTGCTTCTTTTATATATATAAGAAGCAGTTTCCTAATATGCCCTATTTGTTTTCTGAATAGAGAATTGATTTATTGTTGAACTGAATGCAACATGCAGTTTAATCACAAGTAATTTTAACGTTATATATAGCCTATATGTATATATATCTCCCTCTCTATATATATAGAAGGAGTATACATGAAAACGTTGAAATTATTCGTGATTAAATTCCATGTTATATTCAGTTCAACAATAAATCAATTCTCCATTCAGAAGACATAAATAGAACATATTAAACTCATTAAATTTTTATTATTAGGACAGTTAAATGACGTATTAAATATGTTCGAAGGCCATAGTTTGGAATGCTCAAACTACGGCACGCGAACATACTGTATTTAATATTTGCTTATTTAAGAATGATAGAAATATGCCAAAATTAAATTAAATTTGATATATAGGGAATATACAAATTGTTTGTGGCTTGCCAATCTACTATTTATGCACTCTTTGGTCCACCAATCAGAAAGTTTGGGCATCACTGTATTAGGCAATTGAATGACTTTAACAAAATAAAACNCACAACGGCTTTATATTATTAAAATATTTTCATCTGTAACAATAATTTTATGAAGGATACTTCTTTTTAAAAGTCAGCCCTAATTAGACCTACCTGTATTTTATAGTTGTTAAAATAGATATGCAAACAAAATTACAATATAAATTCAAAGATCATTAATTAGCTTATTTTGCAAAAAGGAAAATAAATAAACAAGTATCAAATGTTTTATTCTTATATAGCTACGTATTTGGCTATTAGTTTCGGACATCTTCCACATTATTGTTTTAAATGTATTACTCCAACTGAAGAGGGGGAAAAACCCGAAATGTACTGTACATATTGGAGTTGGAATTTATTAAAAAATAAAAAGTAAAAAACCCCAGTCAAATTTCCTAAAAAAAGCGTGGTGTGATAAGTCCAAAAACTAATAGCCAAAAAAGTAGCTATAAAGAATTAACTATAAGGTAAAAAATGCCAAGAAGCTATAATAATAAACAAGTACCCAATTTCGTTTCTATTCAAAAAACTTCTTTTATAATCAAATCATAAAAGTTAAAACTTTAAATCGAATAAAAATATAACTGAAGTTCATACTTAAATAATAAATGTTATTTGACAATATAAATTGATCTATTAAATCAGGAATCCTTGATATTTTTTCTCTTTAACTTCCCTAAAAGCGAAGTTAATATTTATATTTTTCATTTTTCCTCGAATAAAAATTTCATTTCCTAAGAAAGCAATTGCAAAAACTTTTCTAGAAGGCATTTCACTTTTCTTACATCCTCTTTTTATTCCTCCTAGTGAAGCGCGTGTCAAACCTAAGAACCACAGTAGTAAAGCTGTAAAGTCTTATTTTATATCAATATAAATGATTATACCTTAATCTGATTCTAAGAAAAATGCGATGATAATCTGGACAGCGGTGCCTACAGACTGTACAAAGAAGGGCATGCACTATAAAAAAGGACATCATACATTATGCAAGACACGTCAATTGTGATTCAACGTCGGATCAGCGCTCCCGCAATGTGACAATCAGGGCTAAATTTGCCTTGAAAACAAGGAACATTCCTTATTTTCAAAATCAAGTTTTGGTCAACATACGACGAAGTTGCGTGGGATAATGATCAAATATTATTCAGTGGTTTATTTTGCAAATATTATTCATATTTGCAAAATAATAACATTTTCTGTTCTTTGTTGATAATGTAATTTGGAGTCCCTTGGTGATTAGAAAAAGGGCGACACAGACGAAAAGAGGACACGTGTCTCAAGTGCACCAATGTATGGCGTTCCTAGATCTGGACTAGTTTTTTTTCTTTTTTACTCTTTTCGCCCTGTGGGCACTAAGAGGGCCTCTTACAGCAGGCCCATTATGGGGTTGGCCAGGCCCACAATGGGGCGACCGGGTGGTGAGGGACAGGGCCCGACATATCCGAACGGACCACCCTCCGAAAAATTCCTGGGGATTCCTTGACCCGTCCGGATTCGGTCCCGGGTCCCCCAGAGCGGTAGGCTGCCACCTTGACCGCTCGGTCATCCGGCCTTAGATCTGGACTTGTGATAAGTATGATGTCTCCCTCGTCCCCGAAAGAAATAAAACGTAAACACAATCAACAAAACAAATAAAAATAGACTTTTCACTAATTAAAAAGAAGCTTTAATTTATATTACTTTAAAATTTTTTTATACGCTATATAAGATTTTGGAATTCATTTGTATCCGAGACCCGAACTAAATGACTATGATGGCCGTCTATAACGTGAAAATTTGAACAATCGAATAATAAGATTTTGCCATAATTAATTAATAAATAATATTAAGTTACTAGAAATTCTCCCGTCAAGTATGGCGGATTGAAGAAGAGTACAGATTTCAAAAAATTCAATAGCTTATACTGTCCGTCGGAACATAATTGAAGTGAGATAATACATTTTAAATAACATGCTCGTTAGATCGTTACTTCCGATTGGATAATAAAGCGTCACATGGTTACTATAGAAAGATTTTTGAAAAAATTTGTTATAGAAGTGACACGACGCGGCTATCTTTTATTAAAATTAAAAATTTAAATTTAATGAAAGAAGTTTAAAATACGCCATTTCCCACAATATTTAAAAATGCAACTTAAGGGAAATTCAGTCGTCAAGATTGAACTAAAAATGAGGTCACTGACATCATTGCAACGTAATTGCGATCACCGATCCGATCGAAATAAATCAAACGTTTACTCTATAGCTAATAGCGAGGTTGAGGTCGAAGTTTTAAACGTGAAAACGTGTACGTCGGACGTTCAACGCCGCTTTCCTGTAAGCCTAGAAGTTTGACAATGGTGTTTGGAATGTCGAGCATGATTCACTGACTATCCAAACGCCATTGTCAAACTTCTAAGCTTACAGGAAAGCGGCGCTGAACGTCCGACCTACACGATCTACAGTTTAAAACTTCGGCCTCAAACCCTCTAATATTGCCATAAAATACGTAATCTATACTTTCTGTCAGAACATAAAACGAATATAACCAAAATTTCATCTGGATTGAGCAAAAATTGCAAGAGTTATAAGAAATTCACACACTCACACAACGGCTTTATATTATTAAAATATTTTCATCTGTAACAATAATTTTATGAAGGATACTTCTTTTTAAAAGTCAGCCCTAATTAGACCTACCTGTATTTTATAGTTGTTAAAATAGATATGCAAACAAAATTACAATATAAATTCAAAGATCATTAAAAAACATTTTAAAAATAATTTAATTCGAGGATATATGTTATTTTATTTATCATTAAATTACATTAATTGCAATTTTTTAGATTTTTTCCTCAAATTACTTTTCTCAAAATGAATGGCGTTACATCTTCAAAGGTAAGTTTGAAATGTTTTTGTTTCGCATAATAAATTAATTTTACTTCTCTACGGGGAACCGCAATATTTACTAGATAAAAAATGTTTATTACTCTAGTTATCTCAAAGATTATTTCAAAAAGTATTGAATATACAGTCAGTGCCGGCCCGAGGCAAGTTTTAGGATGGAGCGAGATTCTATTATGGCGCCCGGGGGTGGAACCCCGCCCATGCACTCGACCCACGCGCGTCTCAACAGATAAGGCCATTCACATACTGACCACAAGTTTACAATTAAAATATCGAAAAGTGAAAAAAAAATACTTTTTTCTTTACTTTTTTTACCACTGAGGCGCCCCTAGGATTTAGCGCCTGGAGCGGCTGCTCCGTTCGCCCTATGGTAGGGCCGGCTCTGTATACAGTATTTACATAAATATATACAACAGTTACGTGGCTTTATGTACAATTTATACATAATAGTATTAATATTGTTCTATTAATATTATTATTACAATATAATAATATTATTATTATATTTCAATAATTGTATTAATACATAATAGTATTGCACAATTTATGTACAATACTATTATGTGACTTTATGCAAATACTGTATTTACAGTGTTTTCATAAAGCACATAACAGATTGTTTAATCTAATAACTGCTTTCTTTTTCCTGTCTTTTTGCTATTTATAATAATAGTTTAAATTCTCAAATCATTTATGATACATATTTTAATTTTTAAAAATAAATACTGATTTATTTTTGTTTAAATCAAACTTATTTTCATACTTGAAAATGCTATTCATTTAATATTAAATACTGCATTTTTCATTAATAAGTCCTAACAATTTTCTGATACTATATTAGAAGATTCTGAACAAAAATCTTAAAATTTCACATTTGTCAAAATCCAGGATTTTGTGTTCAGAACTTAATACTTTATATACTTTAATTTCCTTTAAATAAGAATTTAATTTCATTTATGCACGTAATTTTCTGCATAGTTTTACAGTATATAATTTTTCAGCTATATTTCATAGAAGACTTTTTAATACCAGCTCTTGAAAATGGAATATTTGGAGAAAAATTATGTTGGATCGACGAATCTAATAGAATATTTAAAATCCTTTGGAAAGATAACAGAAAATCGAAAAATAAGTTTATAGACAAGCCTTCAGAAATATTTTTGGTAAAAACTTTTTGTTATTAATGAAATTTATGTTATATATTAATTTATTGTTAAATGGAGATGAAAGCATTAAATTTTAATTTTATGGTATATTGAAAATAACATAGTACTGTAAAATTTTTATAATAAAGTTAATAATGGAAATTTTTTTAAAATTTCTGTGTTATGAATATCAAATCGCTAATAAAAAATCTCATATACAGTAGACTCACTAATCCGACTTTCGATAATACGACCTGTTAATTATCCTGCATATCCTCCAGTGGGATTGATTATATGCTCCTGTTTTCATGAAAATGTTAGTAATATCATACATCCCGTTTTACTGTTTACTCGGGTTTCATTTCTATGTAGGCTACATTATTGCGTTTCGGAGCTCCGTATCATTTGCTTGGTTGCCTTCAAAAAAATTAGCACCAAAGAGTGACAGGTTATGTCATTCATTTTCATTAAGTCTAAACACACTCATTAATCCAGCACTTTCGCACCAGTCTGACACCTCTCAGTGCGAGGAATCACAGAATTCGCGAAAATCTACTGTACTTTTGATAATTTTAACGTTTCTATCAGTTTCGTTTAAAGCTTTTAAGTTTTGTAGATAACTTTTGAAACAATTTTTTTGCGTAATTTTATACAGAATTATTCTTCGTGATTGACTGGTTTATTTTCAGAAACATTGAAACGGATGAACGTTAATTAAGGATAATTTTTAGTTGCTTTGGCTTTGTTTTGCAAAATAGTGTATAGTATAAGTTTCTTAGAGGTAAAAGCTTTTCGCTCTCGTTTATTTATTCTTTCCTGTTCTGATCATTCTTTTTTTAACTCTCTTTGCCCTGCGTGCACTAAAAGGGCCGTTTATTTTAGCAAGTCCATTATGGGCTCGACCAGGTCCATCATGGGACGACTGGGCGGTGAGGGACTGGACCCAATATATCCCGCCGGACCATTTCCGAAAAATTCCAGATGTTTTCCGCTCCGTTCAGATTCGATCTGGATCCTTAGAGTGATAGGATGCCATCTTAACCGTTCCATCATTCGGCCATCTAAATCATTCCATGCCGAAAGTGAACCCGAGTCTTCTCGGTGCATATCAGATATCCGAACTACTAGATTATATTAGCATTCTGATAATTCAAAAGAGTCACGAATAGAAAATTAGTAATGGCTGCTTTGAAATAAATGTGTCTGAGATATAGACTATATAGATAAATCCTATTTATAGTACTTAATCATATTTCAAAGCTGATATTGCATTTGATTCCAAATACCTCGCATTTACAGATATTAGATGAATCATATAAATATTAAGCATTATTTGGTCAACAAAATTGGTTGATATGAGATACCAAAATTAAAATAGGACAAATGTACGCCTTCTACTTGTATGAGACAAATTCGTTTAATCCGTTTTCAACAATAAAATCAATTATCATATGAAATAAAAAAGATCTTTAAAATAAATTTAATTGTATATTCATACATTTTTAATGATGCAAATTCGAGTTTAAGCAATATTAATTTTTTCATGATTGTCTTACTGCATTAATTCTCATGCCTGATGAGATGGAACGTTATGATCATGACAGGAAAACTAATTTTGAATGAATAGAAATTAAGATATAGCCATATAGCCATATATAATAAAAATGTTACAATAAAATAAATATAAATTTGAATTGGATGTGACTTATTGATACAAAGTACTATATTATAGGCTAGTGATGGTGAACTCGTAATCCGTGCGACAATTTCAAGGTATAACCACATTGAACGTTTAGAAATTATTAGGCTTTCATAAATTATAAAAAATGTTTGATAAATTTAAAAACTTTGTAAACTTTGTAGTGTGAAAGCGGAGTTCTAAAGCTGAGATGAAAAGTCATAAAGGTCACTTTTATGAATCTCGTATAGAAAAATTATCAAATAAATTACAGCACATTTCCCATTAAACGAAACATTTGTTTCCATTATAATCACGTTATTATTTTCTTTTTACCTATACCGGGTGTTCTAGGCCATCATTCCCAACGCAACTGCTCGCATCTGGGTCTTGCTTAGAGAAAAACGTTTCTAAAAGAACCACAGTGAAAAAATTAGTGGAGTGTCTAGAATGTCTGCACGGCTTTTCTATTATTTTTACACTAATTGTCACTACGACTTGTTCCGAACGTTCATTCTCTAAAGTAAAAATTATAAAGAATTTGAGAAACTCAAAGACGGAGAGAGTATATGGCTACTTTCTGTCGAAAATCCAGAAGCGAGGAAACTGACCTTGTTCAAGGCAATAAACAATTTGCTGCAATTAAGTCCAGGAAAAAAATTAGGCGGTCAGTGTTCATTACAAAGTAGGCTTATCGTAAAAAAGATTATAGAAACCCAATGGGGTACTTCTTTTAAGAAGGAATTATTGAAAATTTTACACGTCAAATTTTTATAAGATAGAATTTGAATAACGAGAATTCATTTTCAACTAAAAATAAATTAAGTTATATCATTGACTATTTGAAACGTTGCATAAAGGCCCACTCATATGTAGTTACGCTACTGATCATCGGACTATATGGTAGGTTTCTTTGGCTACGGCAACGTGACACATGGGCGATCTGCCGAGGGGAAATGCCTCCTGGGAGGTCTTTTAAGGGAACTGGCCCCTATTTAGGTGTTACTAACGTAAAAAAACCCGAAAAACTCCAAGTGGCCAGCTGCGAACCCACAATCAATTGTCAGTGTTTAATGGTTTTATCCACTTGCCCACAGATGGTCTTGGACTATATGAATGATATCAATTTGAATCAATCTGATCACTATGAACCAACCCGATCCTCAGTGGAGTCAATGATCAAAGGTGAGAAATTACCTAGGGAAAATCACGTGTTGAAAGGTGAGAAATTACCTAGGGAAAATCATGTGTTGAATCACATAGATCTTTCATAACAGTAAATAAAAACCCGCACTTAACAAATAAATCTCATTGTAATCAGATTTAAATTTGAGAAAAGCAAAAACCTAGAATTACAGAATTATACAATCGCAAATAAATCTGCCGTTTATAAAACGTAAAATCCTTATAGAATTATATAAAATTAAGCTATCTTGAATTTTTTACTAAGCAAAACCCAGTTCTATAAATGAACATCTAGGAAACTATTTGTTCACCTGTTAAGTTCGTTGTCTATAAAAATATTTTAATATCACAAATTAATTTGCGTCTGATTGGATGATAAATTAACGACAGAGCATCAGCTTGATTAATGTTACCAGCATATTACAGGCTATATGGTCGATTATAGTTAAGTCCATTAAGGGATGTTTGATCTACAATAATCCATATTATCCAAAACTTCGAACATTGTACAAATTTGGTTCATGAAAAGCAATTTAAAGGATAACAAAGTAGTGCATAAAAGAGTGAGTTGCCGAAATTCGAGAACCACTTGTACAGATTTATATAACGCAACATAAATATGATGCTTATGGAATATAAGGTTGAGTCTATAGATTCATAAATAATAAAAATTTTTCAATGTCATAGTACGGACGGCCTGATGGCAGATCGATTAAGGTAATAACCTACCGCTATAAGGAGTCAAAAATCTCAGGAATTTTTCTTGTATGGTCTTTCCAGATATGTTGAGGCCTTGTCTCTCGCCACCCCACTTTGGGTTTAACCAAAAGAAGACCCTCAGTGATCAGGGCGGAAAGAGGCAAATGTATAAAATATGTTAAAACGAGAGAGCTATAATAAATTCTTAATTGATAATTTATTTTAAAAATCTAAAATCTAGAAAAAAGTCCTTCGAAAGTAAATTAAAAAACTAACATAAAATAATTTATTGAAAATTTTCATAAGAGAATTTGAATAAGGAGAATTTTTTTCAACCATACACAGTACTATAAGTCAGTGATTTCACCTACGTTTCATCACTGACTTATAGTACTGTGTATAGTATATTGCAGACACTTCTTTAAACAATGTAAATTCATTGTGAAATGCATTTACGTTTTAATTAATTAATTTTTTCTGTATCAAGCTCTAAAATTTTCATATAGCTTAGTTTATTTACAGGCGTGGTTAAAAATGAAAAACAATGATAAAAGAATAATTAAGTGTAAAGATATATTTAGAAGTGCATTATATTCGAAAGAAAAGGAGAAAATTTTAAAAAGATTAAGAAATCATGAAAATTACAGATGTTATCAGTTTCTAGAATATGGTAAGTTTCTTCCCTATAATAATACAGTAATTATTTTTGCTTGTAAAATATTAGCTAGTTTACGTCTGTTTTGTTTGTTTCGATGGAAAAAAATGGATATTATTTTATTAAAAATGTAAATTAAATTAGCGTTGTAGAACCAGCCAAGAAAGTTTTCTTGACAAAATTTAATCAATACCATCTAGATTAAAGTGTGTGTCTGTTCTGAAGTTTCAAGTTTGAATCCGATCCGAACCCCATAATTTATCATATATAACATGGATTGAAAGTTGGAAAAATGGAAACCTCGTTTCTCAAGCTCACTCATGTTGAACCATTCTTTTAAGTTCAGATTTGATCGTAATAGAAGAAATTATGGCTAGTCATATTTCATGACAATTTTAATTTTCCAATTTACTTTAAACTTAAAATTCACAAATTCAGAAGAAACATTAAATTAAATTAAAAGTGTCTTCACAGTTTATCCTCTTTCATACTCGGGATTGCATACTACAGGAATCGAGCTTTATTTGTTAGCCATTCACAGACTACATTATGCAAATCCCAAGGTGTAAAAAGGATGTGTACGATTTATGCACTTTTATTGTAAATTGAGTGTTTCTCCTGAATTTGTGAATAACTTTTGTGTCATAATTTCTTAAAACAATCGTGAATTAAATTTTATTATGAATTTTTCACGTTTAACTGATTAATTAATTAACACGAGATATCGGTACGTTGTAAACAACATGGTGGTCTACAGTTATGTTTATTACGGGCAGACCTTCATAATGAAATCAATCAGCATAGATGAGAGATGGAGATCAATGCCCGACGGTATCATGATAGATTATAGATGTCTAGACCGGGTCTAAACTCGAGTTTCAATAGCAGCGATAACACCTTATCATGTGGCCGTCTGACTGACATATTTTTAAGGAACATTATATGGACATTTTCAATTTTATTCATTATGAACCAATATGAACAAGCAAGACGACCGATTGACCGCGATTAAGCATCAGCCTACCGCTCTGAAACTGTAGGGTTCAATTCCGGGCGATCAAAAAACTCCAAAACAAAATTCGGAAATAGTCCGTTTCGGATATATCTAGTCAGACTTTCCTTCACCATTCACCTCATTTTGAACCTGGCTGAACCCTTGAAGGAACTGAAAGAAGACCCTCTTAGTGTTCACAGCGCAGACTGAATAAAAAATATATGAACGAACGAGAAATTATTTGTTGTTACATCGACATAATGCCGGGCTGCATTTTTAATCATATATTTTCTTTAAAAATGTATTTGATTAAAAATATCAGTACAGTATATGCTATCTACCTCAAATTAGTAGTATCTTGCCCTCTATACATTACACTTTTCCTGTTAGCAATAGAGTCTTTCATCAATCAATCTAACTTCTTTCAGGGGAAAATTTTTGAATTGAAATAACGTGACTTCCAGTTTGCATCGGAAGTTCATATATAGCTAATCAGGGCCTCCTGCTCCTAAGTTTTTCATATCTGGTCTCGTCTTTCATCTATCTAACTTTGTTCTAGGTATTATGAAAGAACGACAGACAGACGACAGTGGGAATTTATAGATACAGTATACGATGTTTTCAAATTGCAGCCCAACAGGCTACAGATAATTTTTCCAAACATTTCGGTTCTTCTCAATTATTTTTTCTTCTTTTCCTGAGTTTAGAAAAAATCTTTTTAGATAAAGTTTGGATTAATAGGTGTTTTCTGGTCAACTGAATTTAATATCTTAGCTTCGACAATATTATTTATTCGAAGGACAACAAAAATCATCTTGAAGAGAGAAATTTTTCATAACTTCAGAAATGTGACAATGATGCCATATTTTTTGAAAATCTGTAAAATATATCTTGTTTTCCTTATTCATAAATCAACAAGTCCAGATTTTTATTCTGAAAAATATGTTAATCTTACGTTTTGAGAAAAATAATATAAACTCTTCATAAAAATAACCTAATTAGATTCAAATATGAATTCCTCAAGAAGAGATAAGACCTAAATGTGGAGCTAATAATCTGAGTTCAAATCTAATTTAGTGATTTTATAAAATAAGTTTTTATTATTCAGGTATAGATCAAATGAAAAGAGGATATACCATTGGTTACCAGCACAATTATTCATTTCTGAATTACCCTATAGTTATTTTATGTTATGAATTACTCTATAGTTACTTTAAACTCTTCAGGTAAACTTCTATACTTTTTATTGATCAAATTTTTTTAATTTTTATTTTTAGCAGGAAGAAATGTAAATTTAGAACCAAACAGTTTGGAAAATCAAATTTTTGCTTCATCTACTTCCTATAATCTACAAGTTTCACCTACAATTTCACAGATACCATCTACTATTGAAAATTACAATTATTCAGCAATGGAAACAGAATTACTTGAAGGAATTATACCTGAACCAAATAATCCATCAATCATAGACGATATAATAAATTACTTTAGTAACGAATATCAACATTCTTCTAATTAATTGCTCTTATAATTATATTAATATTACAATAAAAATAAATAACTTAATTAGAAAAGAGAAAGAGTGTTTAAAACGATATTTTAATTAATAAAACAAATTAGATCATAATTTATTTCTTAGCATTACAAATTTTAAGATCTAGATTTTTATAATCTATAATAAAATATTTGGCAATTGTTTTGTGTTAAGATGTAAATGTGTATGCAATTATTTGTGGATATATATATTATTATTATTCATAAAATTAATTAAAGTATACTTGAATATAAATTTATTTAATTAAAAATATTAACCTGTGTAAATAAATATTTTATGTAAATTTCAATGTATATATGTTCGAATTTTAAAGCTCTATTTCAGGATTTGAATCTGATTTGAATCTGATCCCGACAAGTAAAATGTCACTGACTGACTACATATACAGAAATCAGAGTTGGCGATTTTCGGGGATCAATTTCTCCACCTCCAAACACCTTAAGTAATTCTGAATATTTCGTTCGAAAGAAAATTGTTTTCTTAGTTAGTGTGCAAAATTTCAAGATTTTTTATAAAGCGGTTGCCGAAATATAAGCAATTCAAAAAAGCTGTATTTTTTTTATCCATCTGGCACTGCAAACGCTTGTAGTAGAGAGAGAAGGGGATACTACCGGGTCTAGAAAGCTCAAATTTTAAACTTAAACCTTTCTTGTTATCCGTCAGGTACTCGTGAAACCTCCTCGGTCAATAGATCAAAGTTCACACAGGTTTCCCATGGAGCTTTTACAGCTTAATTTTATGCTTATAAAGATAAAATTGCATAAAAATAAATGAATTTTACTCAAAATGTTACTTAGAATTACAAAACCTCAAATTTATGCCGATTAAAACTTTTAATAACGATTTTTCTAAACGGCGTGGCGTATCGAAAGCATCGGTAGGCGTTCGATTCGAAGTACATTTGGTCGTCGAGCGCCGACCGATCTTAATGTAATAATACAATAATTAAACAAAAACAATTGATATCCAAACAAAAACATCTAAGATGTAAAAAAATTTTGCCAAGTAAAAATTTATGACAATTTAGACGGCGGTCAAATTTGTCTTAACAGTTTTTCTTTGGTAAAGATAAACTTGGTGCTTGGAAGTACCCATAAGATTTTTACCTGTATTTCGCCTTTAAGTGCCAAGCTTATATCTATCAAAGAAAAACTGCTAAAAAAAATTTGACCGTGTCTAAATTGTCAAATTTTTACTTGGAGAAATTTTCGTTACACCTCAAATGTTTTTGTTTAGATATAAAGTTTTCATAAGTAATTTGGCCTGGATGTCGTTCCTCATCTTACATCCACACTGATTGACTCCATTGAGAGTTAGGTGAACCTGTAATAAATGTCACTGAAGTCAGTAGTATATCCCAAATATGCCGTTGTTACGTGAAATATTGAAATTCACTTTGGGACTTATGTACAATAAATATAAGAAATGCTGTAATAAAGTATAAATAAAATATTAATTAATATGCATTGATATTTTTATGTATATATAGTAGCCTATATGTTGAAGCAAATACTAGAATTTGCCATTTCAAGTTCCTATGGGATCGTCCATTAATTATATGTGCAATTTTTGTTCCCTTCTTTCCTCCCTCTTTGTTGTACACAATGATGTACTGTGGTTTGGCCATCAATTCCCTATTAATCTAAATATATAAAATTACATGTCCTGACTGGCTGACTGACTGGATGACTGATTATTCATCATCGCCCAGAGCAAACCGTTGAACCTAAAGAGGTGAAATTTGGTACACAGTTAGGACACGTCATGAAAATGCACCCTAAGAAGGGCTTTTTCGAAATTCCTCCGCAGGGGGAGAGGAGAGGATTAAGGGTTAACCTGAAGAATGGTTTCATTTGAAACAAGTTTGAAACAAACAAAAATAAGTAATTTTACCAAATTAGTAACAACTAATGATTGAGAATCTTAGTGAAGTACCGAGGGAGGGTTAGTTCTATCAAATTGCAAATTCCGCGCGGGTGAAGTCGCGGGTAACAGCTAGCTACAGATAAAATAGTTCATGGAGTCTGTTGATATTGAAGAAATGGCGTAAAAATTTTACAGATCTTTATAAATTCAGCTAGGCCCACAGTGGCTTGCTAAAACAGGGCGTGCCGTAATAGAGCGGCCAAAACCCGACATATTCGGACGGACTACACCCCGAAAAATTCCTGAAGTTTTTTCAACCCGAAGGATTCTATCCTAGATCTCCGGAGCGGTAGGCTGCCACCTTAACCGTCGGACCATCCGACCAACAGTCTTATATGTTATTAAAAAAATAACGAACTTTTTCTTAAAATCGAACTTTTTAAAATAATTTAATATTTCTTTTAATTATAAAATTATAAAATTTTATAATTTATTTCGAAAATTATAAAATAATTTTCGAAAATATTCAAATGATTACTGAAAATATTAAATCGTTTAACGTGTTTAATTTTCGAATTGTTCTAAATACAAACGATTTTATAATTCGAAAAAAACTGTGTAGTAACTTATATTGCTTTATTTCGAAGCATATTATTTTTATTTAGACATAAAATTATTAATATTATTTTGAAAATTGCAAAATGTCAGAAATTGAATCCAAGGCTGTTGTGCTTGAAGAGAAAATACCTCGTCCACCCAACGCTTTTATGATATTTGGACGTGAATATAGGAAGAAACTCCATCAGGAGTTCCCTAATTGCCCTAATCAAGTAATCAGCGTACGTTTAGGTAAGATGTGGAGAGATCTTACAAAAGAAAGAAAAGAAGAATATTATAGAAAAGCCAAACTTGCTGATATCGAACACAAGAAAAAATATCCCGATTATGTTTACAATCCAAAGGAGGCCAGAGCCAGAAAACAATTGTATAAAAGTATGAAAAAAAGCGGAAGTGCATTAAAAAAGACTCTTCAGACAAAGCAAAGTTTGAAAGTTTCGTCAGAATATTTAGAATTTCAAGAACAAGAAATTTCGAAAAATGATGATGAAAATCGTAATATAAATATTAAAAGACAAGTATATTATAGTATAGCTTTTGATCCCGCTTGTGATTCTTATCCAGTTGTCACTCCTTACTATGATTTTAACGGAATACCTCATATTCCATCTTCAGAAAATCAAGTATATTCGTTGGCAAGTACCGGTACATTTAATACAGAGGATTACTCTCTTTCCACGTGTGACGCATTTAATATAGAGAATCGACATTTGGACACTTTACCTCTCAACGCATCTTACGAAACACTCGAACCATCTTATTACATGAATTCCTATCTTCAGAAATATTCTGAATGTGCTCAGGAAGAAAAGAAAATGAAATTCGATAACGAAATAGAAAATGTTTCGGGATATACTTTAGATGATGCTAATGAACACTTGAAAGAAATCGGTGATCTGTTAAATGTAGCAAATTTCACTGAAGTTGAAGATATGTCAAAGGCAACATTAATTCAACAGTCTGCTTTTAAATGTGATCCGGTACCCAACTCTGAAATTTCAGATTACACCAAACTGGAAAAACTCTAAATTTTTACACTTTATTTATTCTTTTATACATTTATCGAGTCTTTTACACTAGATCTGGAATAAAACATAAATTATTAATAATAATTAAAAACATTTGTTGTTTTTTATTTTGAACGTAATTCGAGTTGCCAGATGTTCCGGATTTTTTCCCGACTGCCATCCAACGACAAGAGGACTATTCTAAAGTTTGTTCCTACAACGAAGTATAATCAAGCCTCGGGTTTCGAACGCCTCGCTTTTCGAACAATTCGGTTTTAACAGCAAAATTTTGAAATCATATTTGCCTCGGTTGCCGAACAAGTCATTCGGCAAGAGCCGGCCACAGATGGTCAACTCCCTATATTTCCCATGTTAAAGAAAGTTGACGGTCCGACTGATCAACCACAGGACTACCCATTCAGAAGTTAATAAGGAGAAAATCGCCTCGTGTCATTAGACATCACGACACGAGAATCATTGATGACGTTGCTATTTAAATTAGATTTCAATGCGCATGCGGGAAAGCTACTATTTACGTCTAAATCAAATTAATAAAAACCGTGTTAATTGGCATTCCCGTAATATAAATGGCATTCAAAAATTGGTGTTTAACTATACTTAACAAAAATTTATTAATACTAAGTAGCCAGTTAATTAAAACTAAAAATAATAAAATAATAATTAAAACTAAAAAAATGACACTAAAATTAAAAATTAAATCAAAATTAATTAATTGAAATCAATTCAATTGATACATAATATTTCAGAACGTGTGGATAAAGTACTAGTCGGTCTTGATTGTCTTGACTTGAGCACACACTTGGCGATGCATTACAGATTTATTTTGTCACGAATTATTCTAAAGTTTATTTCATTATAAACAATTTGAAGGATTTATTATCACATTATATAGACTTTAATGCAATAGTGAAAGTAATTGCAATCTGTAATAAACGCACGGTTTTAAAACACCAAATGTGCGTTTTAAAACCCAAATGTGCGTTTTAAAACCCAAATATTGTATTATTAAAAATGATATTGGCAACGATATCAAAACGTATATAACGAAAATTCTTGACACCACCATTACAGTTTTTGACATAATAACGATTACTTGACGTTCATGTGCTTCATAAACAGTAACATTAATTCACTCATCTTTAACTCCTTATGTGCCACTTTGGGGATGCGTGCCATAGGTTCGCTATCCCTGATCTTGTCCAACAGACTAAGTAGTTCCGAGATACCGTTCCGTCGGAATTATTTCGCACTTGGATCATTTCCAATAGTTCCAGTTCCAGAGGCGGAACTAGTTTTTCTCACCTCTAACCCAGAGTTGGTCCACCAGTGGCTAAGCGGTTCCGTTCCCTGAACACTAGGAATTCGGTCGCGAATTCATGCTTCGCTCGGACGGGCTAGCCACATGAAGTTTTCCGGGTTTTCTCTACATCTGTAACGCCTAAACAGGGGGCAGTTGCCTTTAAAAAGAATTCCGGAAGGCATCCCCCTAGAACAGATCGCCCAAGTATTGCGTTGCCATAACTTAACAAAAACTAAAACCAGAGTTTGAACATTACATTAGTATAGACTAATGTAATTTAAATAAGTTCAAGATTGTGTTATTTAAAAATTTAAATTATTGTAAAAAAATGTTAAAATTAAAATTACGTACATAATGATGTGCGCGTCCTAGCGTACATTTCACTAAACGTAAAATTTTTGGCTGAAGGAGAAAATAATTTTTAAATGAAAGGAAAAATATCAGTAAAAAATCAATAACTAGGGAACGAATGGACGGAACTCGATAAAATTTGATACATACGTAGAACAAAAAAATTCTCAGAGGACGATGATTTTCAAATTTTGTACAGATGACGCGTATATCTTTATTTTTTTAATAATGTAAATTCGGATAGGCAGAAAGCGTTCTAATTCCAGTATAGTAAGGTTCACTTTGTTAAGCCGTTCGTTCGTTCGCTCGCTTACTTGACGGTTTGCCTCTACCGAACCTTATGATTATATTATATATAATTTTATATTGAATTTGTAAGCATTTTTATGCATAAAATATAGCTAAAAAGGTTATAAAAAGACTTTGTTTTTGGAGTCAGGAACAGATTAAGAAATTGTCAGTCTAATTATACTTAATCGTAATTATAGATGTAATCAATTAACCAAAGGAAGAAAAATCGATTTACAGCGATTTATCATACCGGAATATTAAAAGTTAAGTTAATAAAAATTTAAATAAATTTCTTATTAATTATAAATATTAGTGTTCTAACTGCATTTCATTTCTAATAGAATTTATTCTTTAATTATTATTTAAACTAAACATGAACATGATATAAGCAACTACTGAACTGAATCTAAGATCATTTTTAAAAATTTGCCATTCACCCGCAATAATTTTTAAAAATTATGAAATTTTCGGTTAGTCTATAAAGAGAATATTAGTAAATAACAACATTAATAATCAAATTTCTTTGCATAAATTATATATTAATTTAGAAAGAAATTGAAACAGGAAAAGAGGAAAATATTCATGGNCCAGTAAAGTTATTTTAGAAATGTAAATGGTATTCCATAATACCCTCCTCTATATACCTCTATATATATATATATATATATATATAGAGGTATATAGAGGAGGGTATTATGGAATACCATTTACATTTCTAAAAATAACTTTGGGATTTTTATTCAAAAACCAGTAAAATCATAATGAGTACATACTATAACTAATTGTAATAAACTGTCACTTGTAAAAAAAATACTATTTATTTTGTTGTTATAAAAAAATTTTTTAAAGTCACAAATGGAGGGTAATATGGAATAGGTGGTTTAAACAATTGAAAAACTAATTAGACTTCATAAAACATGTTTTTATAGTTAAAAATAACTCATATTTTTAAGATTATGTGCATGTCATTCCTGCTTCGAGTCTATTTACAAAAGTCACAGATATAACTTTTCTTCTCTGCTCAGGTACAATCAAGGTGAGCCCACAGAGAACAGCTGAAGCATTGAATCGAAATTTTCCCTCGTTCATCTTCGGAGAATTTTCCGTTACAGAAGATACATTCAGAGTCTTCGTTTTCTGGTTATTTAGTTGATGACATGAAGTCCATTACAGACGATACATCAGAATGGAACGATTCATCGCTGCAAACACTGGAGTCAGCTCTAGTAGGTTTAGGTCTAGAAGGTCGGTCTAAGTTTAATTTCTTAACAGGTAGTCTTTGAATGTTCGGTTTCTTTTGTTGTTTTGAAGCTTCTGGTTCCTTCTTTTTGTCACTTTCTTTCAATTTATCCATTTATCCTAGTATTCCATAATACACGACACACCATCTTGGAAAATGAACCTATAAACTGATGGACAAAACATTGTCAGCTAAAAAACGACTACAGTATAACAAACTACAATTATTTTAGTGTGCATTATGTATAACATCAATGTTCAAGTCATATATGTACTAGTAGGCTAAAATGTTTGAAAACTTGCCTGCATAAACTCTTAAAAATCACAAAACACACTTTGTTCTGTAGCGAGTGGTAAGACAAGCGGTCACTCTCACTGCACTGCATCGTGGGAGTCTTTCTTGAGTAGTTCATGGTATTCCCACGTAATAGCAGCAACAAACAGAGCCGAAACCTCGTTATTTCATATTACCCGACTATTTCATAATACCCTCCTCTCCTCTATATGTTTCAGTGAGTGCGGATGGTCAGTGAATGTACACCTTCACTAAAGTAATCAGTGAATCTGTACTTTAGAGTTTACAAGATCTCAATTTTAGTCTTGCCCCGAAAAATGATCTCTGAATGTGAAGTTCCTCAGACAAAACTGTTACTTTAAGGGTGATTGCATCTGCCCAATCTTGAGGTACAGGACAAGGCTTTTTCAATGTTCTTACACTTTGAAATGCCAGACTATGAAATATAAATGCAAAAAGAATGGCACTTTATGCACTTCTAAATGTCATAATTCTTCGACTTGCTACAGTAAATAAAAACGTTAATTAAAAGGTTTTTTCCGTTTTATTTAAAATGTGCTTTTCACAAGTTCAGTTCGTAAAGGTTAACAAGCAAACAAACACACTAGAGAGAATATACAATTATTAGTGAATCTGGATTTATTTTAAGATGAACGATTTATTCCACATTCACTGATTACTTTAGTGAAGATTTACATTCACTAGTTATAGATCACATTCACTGTACAATCCACTTTCACTGTAACATATATGAGCCGTTTATTTTGAAAATGGGGCAAGTCCAATTTTTGTTATTGCGAGATATTTAAAGGTTTGCATTTTAATAAATTTAAAAATATTGGTAAGTATTAATAGATATATTTTTAATATTTTGTGGTACCAGATAATGTAAGTTTATAATCCAATAGTGTTTACAGTGCTGACTAAAAAAAGTAAGAGTTTCATTATAACTAAATGGACTTGCCTCACTTTCAAAATTAATGAATTATTGTAATCGTTCATTTAATTGGGAATTTTTTCAGTTGCATCAGCCTTTTTTTAATAATAAAAACAAAATACTATTCAAATTTTTATAAATATTTATTCATTTGATAAAAAGTGAAACAAAACAAAGAATATTCTAGTAGAAAATATAACATAACAAAAAAAATTCAGTTTTATTAAGAATTTCAATCAAATTATACATTTTCAGTTTATACGTAGGTATAACTAAATGAATTTTATTCAGGATTTAACATTTTAAAATATTCATGATGAACGGGAGGTATATATGGTAATAAATCCATCGTGTCCTTGTATTTTTCAGATGTAATAGATCTCCTTTTTTCATACAGAAAAGATAACTTTATATTTCCGAAATTACTTGGTCTTCCTCGTTGTGGTGACAAATCGATAATTTTAAATTCAGCATCTCGTTCTATCGAAGTTTTGTAGAACATTTTGTATGGTGCATCCCTTGTAAATCTGATCCAGCATATATTTAACCAATTCACGGTTTCTCCATCGGTATTTTTGTTTCTTTTTAAAACTGCTTTCCCCAGAGGTTGGGTTGAAAAAAAATTTTCGCGTTTCATTTCATGTACTAAAAATTTATTATGTTTTCGACAATTTCGTA